GCAACGGGAATTTGTGGGCGGGGCATGTGCCCCCAGCCCCCCCCCCCGTGGCACTGGGTAAACCTGACTTCCAAGACAGTCACGAAGAGGGCGATCTCACCACTCATTCGAGTCGAATCTCCAGCTCTGACTAATTGCTGGCAGGCAATCGGAAAATTACTTGAAAACCTTGACAACAGAGGCACTGGCACTGCCTCTCCATCGAACGACGGTGATTACGAGGCAGTCAGTCGGTACAGAAGACGCGACTCGCTGCGGCGGTGAGTCGTACGGTGAAACCATACTCTCCGTGAATTTCACGTAGGCCTATTAAGTCCAGCGGCTGACCAGATTCATAAATTGTACAGTCGAATCTCATTGAAACTGAGCTCCGTTAGTACAACATTCTGCTTGTAACATTAGCAAGCAATTTTTTGGTCCCAATCCGTTCTTTTTCATCTTTAATAATACAAGTACTAGGTTTCTGTTATAACAAAATAATCTGCAAGGACCTCATATTAATGAAGTTCAAATATGCTACCTGCTGAACGCACAAAAACTAATTAAGTTCAACATAAAAGCAGCAAAAATGATCCAGCCTTGAATTCACGTCAACGCATTTCTCGTGGGAGTGAAAGCAATTCTGCGACCTGAGGGGAATACAATGTATCTTTTTTTTGTATTTATCAGCGACCTTCACTTCGGCAGGCCCATTGAAACGGTCCGTGACAATAAGCAGTCAACTCAAGGCCACAGTCATGCCTGACAGTAATGATTTATGTCATCATAAATGAACAAATTGCTACATGGCCGTTGCAACAGAGGGTCAAATTAAAAACTTCCAAAACTGTGTATTGAGTACACGGTAATGTTATTTGGGTTAATTTAGGGCTAGGGTAAGTCTAACACTTCAATAGTGGAAAAGATGTGGTACAAGTAAAGACATGAAAAAAAATTTCAAAGTAGTTACATGTATGTCATTTTCAAGATGTATTTTGCGTCTGGGAGATGTTAATTTATCATACATTGAGCATACAGAGCTTACTAATATACGTTGGGTAAGGGCAAATCCCGTTATATAAATTAGTTATGTCATGATGCTTTGTTTTTCTTTTTATTTTTGAAGTTTCTGCAATCGAGCAGGGCAAGATCATGAACACGTTTTGAAGTCTGTATATCTGAAGTTTTCTTAATTACTTGATGCCTGTATTATAATTTGGGACTTTAAACCCATGACGTCGACTGGGAAGTAGAGACAGATATGGGGGTAAACAACAACAACAAAGCCTCCGCAAAGTAAAAAAAATGATAAAAGCTTTCTGTATACATGCAATTTCTGGGTAATAAGTACGAGTGGTTTCGACTTTTCCTCTCAATTAAATTATACGATTTGACCTGAAACATTAAACCTGTAGGTAAAAAGGCCAGTGGAGGTCGAAAAGAAAATCAATCAATTAATGTGACCAGTAAAGTGTATGTAACACATGGAATTTATTTCGTTCTCCTCAAGGCTTTGTCCCTTGTCTTAAAGTTCTTCAGCATTGTTCATCACGATGCCAAATAATTACAAGTTATATTACAAAATAGAAAACAACCAAGAAAACTACCAGACATTTTAATAAAACCTGCATCCAAAAATGCCATTTCTCATCTTTATCAAAACAGAAAATAAAAGCCAAAAAAATTCTCAATATTTTACATTTACAGAAGACATATCGTAATTTTTTTGAAACATTAAACTCAAGGTGTTTAATAACGAAAATGTACATAAATATTGTTTATTGCAATAACTGTCAAAAGTTCTTTCTGCTTGAAATACATGTCTACACAAAAACAGTCGTGCTAATTAGCGTGAACGAGCATCATCAACACGATTAGCGTCAACAAAACGTCAGCAACCTGAAAATTCTTTCTTAAGTTTCAAAAGAAGTGCCATTATACTTGGGTGCATCTCCTACAATATTAGAAAAGGGCGAATTCACATCCAGATTCCCGCAGGAAAACAAAATGGCAAAGAATGGAGGCTGCCATCTCTTTTTCCCTCATATGTCGGACAACTTGACCGTTGCCAACTCGACTATGGAAAACTCGACCACTGAGACAACCTCGACCATGTGAGATGTTTACATTACGTTGTATTTATATGCTTGGTCAGCTGGTCAGTTCGTTTGGCATTGTCTGCATTGTGTGACGTTGCAACTCTACTTGGACATAGCACGGGGTGGCATTCGCTCTTTGCACGTTGCCGCCATTGGCATGCAGAGCCTCGAACTGGCAACTTGCACAATTATGTCAGAATCGCCTTGTCCAATCGCATGGTATAAGAACTAAGGCAGCATACACAAAATTACATAAACGTACACAGCAATCACTGAACAGGCTATTTATTGTGTAAAGCTACCAGATTGAGACTTCCATATGATGCAAGATATGGGGCGGAGAGAACCCCCCCCCCGCCTTTGTGTTGGTCATTTTTTATCGTAATCTCAGGAATTCTTTACAGACTTCGGGGGGGGGGGGATGTGTTGGGTAACAATAGTCTAGAGTGTGTATAGGGATTGGACAGGTAGGGGGGTACCCATCGGCCCCAATTTAATGTAGGAACAAATACAGTCTTGACTGGTCGTGCAACGACTGTGAATAAATTTGTGTGGGGGAATTTCTCCATATTTTTTGAAGGAGGTTTAAGGAAATCAAAACAGCCCATTCCAACAAATTAAGCACAAAACATTTCTACAGTTATTTAGCCATGTTTTAGTCCATACTTTCGTCCCTAAGTCTCATGCCAATGTTTGAATTCCGAGCACCATAAGACAAGTTTTAAAGAAACCTTTGCAGAAAACTCGATACATTCATTTGAATGTATTTAATCATACTTTCTGATGACCATATTGCTGTCAACTAGTTCCAACTGACCAGATTTTGAGCAAATGAGTTACTGAGACCACTTCTTTTTCTCCATTCCATTCAAGTTTCAGGAAACTGGGACATGGTGTAAAATAATGTATGCACAACTTCATTTCTCTGTACAAGACAACTGGCAACCCTGAAAATGAACTTTTCCTAGAATAAAAATGATATTTATATCTATTTAATTGGATTCAATTGATTTTATGAACGTCTATTGCAGTATCAATAAATTATTTAATATCTTTATGATCAGTAGTAATACTATTGTTAAAGGATATATCATTGCGTATACAGTCATTCTGATGCATACACTTAAATATATGTAGGAGGATATAACCCAAATCTTTACACGAGTCTAAACACTACCTTCCCAATTCACCATAATCCAACACCTGGTTTGGATTGATTTTGCTGGATTAGAGACTGTGCATGGGGATGACGCCTTGTTACAGAGTGGATCACAAGTGTCATTGATTCATTGCAGCAATGCTGAGGGGGAAGTTTGGGTTGGTGACCAAGAGGGTCACCTTCCTGGTCACCGATGTGACCAGGAAGGGGCGTGGCTCCTAGTCAATGGTGGGGGGGGTTAACATCACCCAAGCTATTATTAGGTCCTTTATCATCACTGCCCAGGGAAATTTTGCTAGAAATTTTTTCCCAGAATTCTCTCCAATCTGGTAAACCAATGCCACATTCTCTGTCCTTTTAAGAGGCATCAAACCCCATGCAAAGTAACAGTGGTAGGGCTCCACCTGCATCAATCCTGCAAGATCTTCAACTACCACGAAATGGATTTTGAAGGATCTGGGAGGGCTGCTGTTAATGACTGGTAAAGACAGTCCAAACTTCTCTACTGGACAAGATGATACCTTCACCCAACCCTATATTGGTACCTCTTTTTTGGGCAATTTGTACGAGTTTTTCAGGCACTGAAACTGTATCTGTCATACTTTCACAGCATGACTTAATGAACTTCAAAAGACACCATATGGCCACGTGAAATGTGGCACGAATACCAAAAATAATAAATGACACTAAACTGAACGAACAAACAAAATTATCAATCAAATCCCTGCTGTCTCTAGTTTTTCTTGAAGGCAATAAAACAATTAGCAACTTCTGCATTGCTTGTCTGATTGGTATTGTCACTATGGCAACTTTTTGCTGGAAACTTTACACTGAAACTTCTCAAGTATTGAACAAAAGCAACTGAAACAAGGCGGCGGCAGACAGCCATTAAAGTGCTCCGGGCACATGCAGCGAGACGGTCAGTCTTCTGTGATAAGGCTCTTATAATGAATTCAATTAGATGGTCTGTGCACCAGTCTCATAGTCGCGACCATCACAAGACCAGACACAAGACTTTTCACAAGACAAATCAAGAGTTACAGTGTGAATAATGGCAAAGGAATGTAGTTCATCTGAACAGCTTGTGACCTAAATTCAGATCGGAAATCTGGTGCTGGTCTTGTGATAGTCTTAAGAAGTCTCAACTATAATACTGCTGTGCACAAGCACCCCTCAGTAAAGACACAGACAGAGGCTGGGTGGTAATCCAGTATCAGTGGTACCCTGTGCCCATATAAATAACACTACAGATTTGTCAAACTGTGCATCATCCAAGGCAGATGCACGCAAACAAGCATATATAATGGATCCTTCTTTGGTATAGGGCTTGTTTCACAAACTGCCAGGCCACAGAGTTCAGTTTCTCATTTTGAATGCATAAAAAGGTAACTCCTTTCAGAAAAAACATACATATCTAGTGTACTATCTTTCTGAGCAAAAAGTGGGACAAAAATACTCGGATGCTACTTTTGCTGGGTTCTGAAACGTGTGTTGTTAATTTAATGCAACCTCCTAAACGTGTCAGACTTTTAGGACTGGCCTGCAATGTTTACATGACTGACCTGGTTTCTTTTCTTGCACTTTCTCTGTCGATGAGAGTTCAGTTGTCCCTTTAATTTCTGTACCTCGGCTCTTTCAAAATCACTGTACAGATCCTCCACGTGGCCAATGATATGTTCGTCAATCTGTATTTCAAGAAGACAAGGAAATAAAACCAAGAAAAATATATAGCTATAAATATATAGTGAACTGTAATGCTATAATGATGGGTAATTTTTCCGAGAGCATGGGGGGAGGGTGATAGCTGTCAATTCAAATGGTAGCGACGGCTGGTCTGTTTTCACCTTCTTTTGGGGGATCCACATGAATAAACTAGAGTTTTTATGTGAGTGGATATTGAGGTTTACACACAGGCCTTCTGAATGCATTTGTAATTAATACTGTACTGTTCAAAAAGTGCTCTTTTCATTGTGTTTAACCAAAAAGGTTGTCGGGTAATTTCCACGGAAACAAGAGGAGTACAGACCTTGTTTGCATAGTTGTCATCTTTGATCTTATTCCCTGAATCTGTTTCATAAATTGCAAACAGTTGATTTGGATGAAACCAGACTATTTTATGCTTGTGTGCATTCCAAGTCTTTCTTCCAATATATTTTTTCAAATCTGGCATTAAAACTAAGGTTTTAATCACAAATTTGAAACTCTTCGTCTTAGTAGATAGGTACATGTACGTTATACTAATTTGTCGTGAATTTCATTTGTTTGCTTTCATTTCTACGTGCAAATTTCACAAATAAAGAGTAACCACGCTTTCTATTTTAATATGGACAACTAGCCAACAAGGAATAAAGTCTATGACATTGTACGAGCAGCCTGAGAAAATTTATTGTTTGGACCCTTCAATTTTAGCACCCAACTTTAAATACACCTGACAGGAATCATAGCAAAGTCAGGTAATGGAGGTAATGGAGGTAAATACTTTACCAACTGCTTGAACACTTGCAGACAGAATTACTTTGGGATGAAAACTTCAACTCTCGACAAAGGCAACAGATACCTGCCAATTTTGATATACAACCAAATGCCACAAATGCTGCTTCATTGGAGTCATACATCCTCCGGCACAAAGTGGTGAAAAGCAGTCACAGTAAATTTCTGACAAAATTATGCTGTAGTTTTTAATCTCTGTTTCATTAAATGGTACCTGATGCAGTTTATTTCTGGTGGGAAAGAGTGTTGCTACACAAGACGGAAATCAGCAAAAATACATCAAACACAATTTGAGATGGCTGTGTCACTGTCCAATTTGGTTTGTCGGGGCCTACCTGACGTTTCTTCAAGTTGGCAAACACCACTCCGCAGGTGCCCCAACAACACTGCTTGCTGAGGCTCTGCCGAACGTGAAAGTCGCGCAGGTGATTAAACATCTTGGAATGGCTAGACTTTTGAGTGGTGCAACTTATCCACTGTAACCACAAACCAAACAAAAATGGATTGAGAATAAAATGCAAACTTCTATAAACTGATCAAACAGTGGATGGTTAATCCTCGCTCTCACAGCAGTGTGCAAAAGTTTTTTTTCATATATGGGGCATTTGTTCGTAGAGATGCACGCTAATCTCCTATTTGTTCGGTACACACTCTAAGTCTGTGGCAATGGACCATGTGTTCAACTTGAGCACTGTACACGACCCGTTGTTTGGGCAGCAACTAACTTCATTGAAGGCACCACGGGGTATTGAAAAATATGGGGTTGATTGCGATGACCTCAGTGAGTCTTTATTTGTGGCATTTGGCTGTATGTCTATAGTTGGCCATTCCATCTTGCCTTTTTTTACAAGTTGCAATTTTTCGACTGGGGGGGGGTTAAAACTGACTGCAAGTGGTTAAGATTCAGTAAACCGTGAGGCAGGAACTGGTTGGCCTTGCCTTTCACTAACACTTGACCTTGTGCCGTCTTCCCAGACAGGATTTGCTTTCTGTTGGTACTTCAAAGCTTATGACATGACATCTGATAAAACAGAGACCCCAGATTTTAGAGTGGCATGCTTTTTTGCCATTTCCAATTGAATTTCCCTGTCATCAACAGAGGCTTTACGTGGTGGCCATCTTGCAGGGCAGTTATCTTCTTCCACAGGGAAATTCCTGTGCATACCCTGCAAGATGGCAGCCATGCAAACCCTCTATACAAACTGCCCGAGCCTTCAAAACCCCAACTTACTTGACACTTTACTCGGGCCTGTGTCGACTTTTTCTTTTTCTTGGATTTCTCTGAAGGCTGTGTCGGAATGGCCTGTACTGTGCCATCGGAACACCCAATGTACACCTACATTCACAAAAGCAAAAAACCCTTGACGTTAGGAAACATGTCACAACAGACCTAAAGTTTCAGCTTGGTGTGGAAAAATCTTGTAGAAAGAAAAAAGAATCATAACTGACGGTGCTGCTCTGACTGTATCACCTGGAGTCACAGAGGACTCATGAATGTACGTCAAGTGCCTCTTCCCCATCAATTTGCTGTGGCTACCCAAAATCTTTTCAAGTCTCAAACTCTGTCAGAACACATGTGACACAAGCACGAGCGTGGTTCTTCTGCACCAGTGGTGTCTCCTTTTGCTCAGTGTTGTAGTTGAGTCCGTCACAAGTCCTCTCACAAGACTAGTCATAAGTAGCAGGGTAAATAATGGCAAAAGGGGTCCTTTTGCCGGAGTTCACTTTGAAACGATTGCGGCTTGGCTTAAGAACGAATGACTTGTCAGGGACTTAAGGAACTTGTGCTGGACTTGACTGCAATACCGCTGAAGTGTAGCCTCTACCAAATGAACACCAAAAACTGAAAATTGGGCATGATCTCTCGGTTAATCCTCAAATTGGCAGTGTTTCCCTGTGGTTCTGAATTTATACCCTGACTTGAACATTCCAGCATCTGTTTGATTTCTAAATCAGTTTGTGTATAAAACCTGGAAATTAAAAAAACAGGAAAAAACAAATAAGTTAAATGTTTCAGACTTACGGTCTTGCGATGAAGCGCCATGCAACAGATCTTCTGAGGAAACGATGCAATCATTCTTCCAGCGTCAACCTTCTGTTCAAAAACAAAAGAGGTAAGACCTGCATCATCAGTGTCTTCTCGTCACGACGCCATTATGATGCCACGCCAATCTTCTCACACAGCATGCAATGCTCCAGGCAAATGCCAAGTTTTATTTCCATCGGACTTGAGATATTGGCCGGCAAAAAATTCGACTTTACAGGTAAGTCGCATGACTCAAAACGACATCGTCGGGTCATTGTTATTCTGGGGATCATAACTAATATGAGGTCTGTCTTTGGGGAGTTTGATGAAGATGCCCCCTGGGTGAGTGACCAAGGCACTGTACAGTTAAGACTATGTGCAAAATCGATGAGATATTGGAGAGGATATTAACCCTCCTTTGGTTTTTATGGCACAAATGTGCACAAATGCCCACA